GCGAAAAAGGCACGCGACGTCTGGGCTCCCGCCCCGCGAGGCGCTGCTGGACAGCCCGGGCGAGCTCACCTTCAGCGTGGAGGCCTCGCCAGACAGCGCCTGGGGCCTGCAGGCGCACCGCCGCCCCCCCCCCTGCAGGCGGAGGGCGGGGAGGAGCAGCGGGAGGACGAGGATTTGGGGATAAGAGAGGAGAAGGATGGGAGAGGATGGGAGAGGATGGGCGAGGATAGAGGGAGGAGGAGGAGGAGGAGGAGGAGGAGGAGGAGGAGGAGGAGGAGGAGGAGGAGGAGGAGGAGGAGGAGGAGGAGGGGGCCAAGTCGGATTTGAGTTTTCTTACCGTCAGGATCTGGGGAGAAGGAGGAAGATGAGGAGGAGGCGGAGGAGGAGGAGGAGGAGGACCCTGAGATCCGACGTTGCAAAACTAATGCGGCATCGCACACAAAAGCACAAACGGATGGAGCCCTGGAGCCTGTCTTTCTGAATCACTTTTCGAGCCAGATCGAGTTGTGAGGGTCCTGGGGCCCGAAACGTAACGAAGTTGGTCGCCATGAAAAAATGCAACGTCCAGATCTGAAGGGAGGAGGAGGCGGAGACAAGGGCGGAGGAGGAGGAGGAGGAGGAGGAGGAGGAGGAGGGGAGGAGGGGGGGGGAGGAGGAGGCGCGGAGAGGAGCGGAGGCGGAGGAGGAGGCGGAGAACGAGAGAGGATGGACGTGGATGCAGGTAGAGGAGGCGGAGGAGGAGGAGGAGAGAGGAGGAGAGGAACGAGGATGGAACGAGGAATGGATGATGAATGATGATGGTGATTGATGATGATGATGATGATGATGCTGATGATGATGAATGATGATGATGATGAGAATGATGATGATGATGATATGAGATGATGAGGAGGAGGAGGAGGAGGGAGGAGGAGGAGGAGAGCAGGAGCAGGAGAGGAGAGGAGAGGGAGGAGGAGAGGAGGAGAGGATGAAAGTTGGATGAGAGGATGAGAGAGGAGGAGGAGAAGGGGAGGAGGAGGGAGGAGGAGGAGGAGGAGGAGGAGGAGCGACGAGGATGAAGAGGATCAGAGAGGACAAGAGAGGATGGAGAAGGGACGCGAGAGGATGGAGGAGGAGGCGGAGGCGGAGGCGGAGGCGAAGGCAGGCGCCCCCATGCAGTGGCCGGGCCGTCCCCCCGAGCGGCCCCCTCTTCGAGCTGCTATCCGTCTCCGCGCCAGCTGGCGGCCCACACCTCGGGCTCCTCCTCCTCCTCCTCCTCCTCGTCGTCCTCCTCTCTTCTCCTGCTCCTCCTCCTCCTCCTCCTCCTCCTCCTCCCTCCTCCTCCTCCTCCTCCTCCCCTACTCCTCCTCCTCTCCTCCTCCTCTCCTCCTCCTCCTCCTCCTCCTCCTCCTCCTCTTCCTCCTCCTCCTCCTCCTCCTCCTCCTCCTCCTCCTGCTCCTCCTGCCCCGCCCCTGTGCCAGTCCGCCCCCCATCGTTGCCTCTCACTCCTCGCGCCCTCCCTGCCCGGAGGTCCTCCCAGCTTCCCCCCCACCGCCGCCGCCGCCTTTTTTCGAGTAGGGGATCGACTACAGAATTCATTCACGTACCCCAAAAGCGATTTTTTAGCCCGAATCCACGATTGTTTGTAGATTCGAGAGGAAAATCGCAATGTTGTGAAGCCCTACTCGATTTCCCCCTCTATCCGGCCGGGCCTAGAATCGAGAGGCATCCGTTCCAGAGCGTTCCGGAACGATCTGGAACGGACGCGGTGCCCGATGCATCCTCCAAACCCGCCGATTCTCAATGATGCCCGATTCATATCGGTCCGATTTTGTTTCGATTCTGCCTTCGTCTCACTTTCCTCCCTCCACCCTCCACCCTCCTCTTTTTTGTTTTCCTAGTCCTCCTCCTCCTCAGAGCGCCCAGTAGCGCGCGCGAGCCCCCCAGACGGAGTGACCTCAGCAAGGCCGAACCAGATTTTACGAATGCTGCAATGCTCTAGTGGATGCGAGGTAGCCCCGAATTCGGCCCGATTGGTCGATCGATCGATCGATCCTCCCGTTCCTCCTCCTATTTCTCCTCCTCCTCCTCCTCCTCCTCCTATTTCTCATAGTTCTCCTCCTCCTGATCCTCCTCCTCCTGCTCCTCCTCCTCCTCCTCCTCCTCCTCTTCCTCCTCCTCCTCCTCCTCCTCCTCCTCCTCCTCCTCTTCCCACCACCACCCCGCCACCCCGCCCCGCTCCACCCGTCTTCCCGTCCCCACTCTTCCTACGGCGCTTCTTTTACTCGCGACGTGGGCCCCATCCCTAGGGACCTCGACCCGGCATCGCTCGGACGTGTGCCTCTCTTCTCGGCGAGGATCCTCGGGAAGCATCTCGGATCATCCTGCGACGAAGCCATGCGCGGGGAAGAGGCGTCCGACCCAGGGAAAGGCACGGGGAACGCGCGTCCGAGCACGACGTCGAGGAGGAGGAGGAGGAGGAGGAGGAGGAGGAGGAGGAAGAGGAGGAGCACGAGGTCGAGGCATGCACGGGGAATGGACGTCCGAGAGATGGGGGCCCGACCTCCCCAGGGCTTGCCTCTCCACCCCGAGGCCCCCTGTGGCGGCGGCCTCCGGGGGGGGCGTGGAGCGGCCTCCACATGGATGCTGCGGGGAGGGACGGGGATGATGATGATGAGGAGGAGGAGGAGGAGGAGGAGGAGGAGGAGGAGCAGGAGGAAGAGGAGGAGAAGGGAGGAGGAGCAGGAGGAGGAGGAGGGAGGAACGAGCAGGAGCAGGAGGAGGAGACCCCGGACCCCCTGGCGTTGCGACAAAAGAGCGACGGCAGGTCTGGCGCTGTTTTCGGCCCCCCCAGGGGCCCTTAAGGGCCCCCGGGGCTCCCGAGGCCCAGGAATTCCTGGGCCTCGGGACCGTATCCAAGAACGAGGTCCCGGGGAGGGGGTCCCGACCTCCCCAGGGGGGTCGACGCTGCGACAAAGATCACGACGTCGGAGGTCTGGGAAGCGGTCTCCCCTCAGACCTGGGCGTGGCCGTGTCTTGCACGCCCGGCGTGCTCCTCGGGCTGCGGGCCAATGGGGCCCTGGCAGGTCGATCTGGGGGCGAGGAGGCGCCGCAGGAAGGCGCGGTCGTGCTGCTCTGCGATGCTGCAGTTGTGCTTTTGGCAGCGTCGACTCTCGGGGTCCAGAGGGCCGAGAGTGGCGACGAGAGCTGACCGCCGCGATGCTTGGCGTCGTTCTGCGCCGACGGCATCGTGGGGTTCGGATCGGGCGAGGGTCGCCGAGCGCGTTCCAGTGTCGGGGGAGCGTAAGACCCTGGTTTGCCAGGACTCGGGTTCGCCATCGTTTTTTGACGACCGCGCCTCGGATTTTGACGAGGAGGAGTTTCGTGGGATGTCTGCAGCGGGAGGCCTCGTCAAAATGCAGGCTCGGCCTCGTCATTTTTTTGACGACCTCGTCGGGGATTTCCGAGTCCCCTGTACCCAGGTCTTACGTCCCCCTGACAGTGCTCGCAGAGTGCCTACTCGCAGACGTCCGGAAGACATGCGTCGGCCTCGTTGTACTGGATGGGAGATCTTCCGCGGCCATTCACGAGTAGACTGAGCAGTGCCTTCGCGAGTAGCGGAGCGTGCTTGTCCAGAAAGGGGGACTGGGGGAAGGGGATTGCTGCATGCAGCTGGTTCCTGCTCCGGCGCCAGGCGCCTTCCTGGATACGTTTGGCGCCTCCGGCAGCGGGAGGCGCCAAGAAAGTCAGCTGCGTGAGCTGATTCACACGCCCCTCTCTTACTACCTCCCCCGTTGTCCGACTCAACCCTGCCTCTGGATCCGCGGTGCCTGGGGCGATTTCACAAGTAGGGCGGAAATTTCCGCCCTTCTTGTTCAAGCTCCTTTGATGCCGATTCCTTCCCTGCTTCGCCGTCGCTGGTTCTGCCGTACTTCTGGGAAAGCGTTCTCCCTACCATGTTCTGAGGCGCACATTTCCACCCCCACCTTTCCGCATAATTTGGGGTACATTCCCGACATTTTTTCCGAGGCCGGAATTTATACAGTGGGGGCGCGCATCAAGACATCATATGTTTTTCGTCGGGGTATCCAGGGTTTCTTGGCTCCTCGCGCTGCGCGGCGACTTCCCGCGGCCGTTGAAGGAGCTGCTGCGTTCGGGGTGTTCCGGGTTTCCCCTCCGGTGCACCTCGCGCGCGGGTTCTAGCAACAGGGTTGGGTTTCTCGCTCTGGACACCCGAAATGGGTACGGAAAGAATGGGCACAATGTCCAACAGCAGTTCCTGAGCATTGTGAACAGGACTCGCTGTCCGCGCCGCCGCGGCCTGTGTCCGTTCGAGACAGGAGGCCGCCTGCCCAACAGCGGCCGCTGTTGGTTTGGGACAGCATTTGTTGTTGGGCAGTGTGCCCATTCTTTCCGTGCCCATTTCGGGTGTCCAAACTTGCGCGGGTCTCTTGCGGCCGCGCCCGCACTGTACATGACCACCGCCGGGAGGATCAGTCCGCGGGGACCTCGGCCTGCGGTGGATGTGGACAGGTGCGGGCCCCCGGGGCCCAGAGCAGATCCCCGCTGGGGCACCATGACGAGGACGAGGAGGAGGAGGACGAGGAGGAGGGGGAGGAGGAGGAGGAGGTGGAGGAGGAGGAGGAGGAGGAGGAGGAGGAGAGGGAGGAGGGGGAGGAGGGAGGAGGAGGAGGAGAAGGAGGAGAGGAGGAGGAGGAGGAGAAGGAGGAGGATGGGGGAGGAGGAGGAGGAGGGGAGGAGGAGGAGGAGGAGGACGAGGATGGGGGAGGAGGAGGAGGAGGAGGAGGAGGAGGAGGAGGAGAAGGAGGAGGAGGAGGAGGATGATGAGGAGGAGGAGGAGGAGGATATGGATAAGTCCCCGCCTCGCCGATGTAAAGTCGGAGGGTCAGCCAAAGTGCAGCGGGTCCGAAGTCTGGGGTGGAGACCTCCGCCGGCGTGCCTGCAAGGCTTCCGTGCTGGCCAACGGCACCGCGCCGTGGGGCCTACGCCTGGTGGCGGAG